AGGTACAACCCTGTAGTCACCCCCTTTTCGTGGAACACAAACTTAGAAGAAATTTGAGGCCAGGGGGGAGGTACGAAAGCTAGCAGGGCTGGGGTAGGGTGGCAATCGTAAAGGGGGATTAGGAAGGTGAAGTCGGAACGCGGCAACGGTCTCACGCAGTTTTTTGGAGTTGCTGCAAGTCACAGACAGTGCCAATCTTTTGATGTTGATGAGGTTGCTGACCAGAACGATGAAGGAAACTGATGATGACGAAAGTGATGGTAACAGGAAGGACTTGATGACGACCATGATGAGGATGATGAGGATGATGAGGATGATGGGGATGATGAGGATGATGAGGATGCTGAGGATGAGAATGAAGATAAAAATGAGGATGGTGATTATGATGAGCAGGGCTGTTGTATGGTTGCAAAATCTATTGGGTCCAGCAAGCGAAAACCCCCCAATGCAATAATCGTCTCTCGCAAAGTGTTGTAAGCAAAAGAAACGCAATATCAAAAAAAAACACCCCCAAATGGAAGCCCGAATCTGCATAAAGATGTTCGAGACAATGCAACACATGTATGATGATGATAAGGATAATAATGACGATGATGATGTTGTTGATTATGATGCTGATGCTGATGATGATGATGATGATGGTGATGATGATGATGATGATGACGATGATGATGATGTGGATGCTGCGAATGGTGGGGATTATGATTATGATGGTGATGATGGTGATGATGATGATGATGATGAGCAGCAGCAGCAGCCACCTCTATTAAACCGCTCCCTGCAACCGCTCCGCGGCACCACCTCTATTGTACCGCTCCGAAACTGCCGGACACACCCACACCCCGCCCTGGGCCCACCGAACCCTCCAAACGCTCCGCGGCAGCGCGTCTGGTCTTGATATAGGCTGCAGCTTGCCATCCCTGCAAACGCTCCGCGGCACCACCTCTATTGTACCGCTCCGAAACTGCATCGTGGCGTAGCGACAGGCGGGATGGTTGCTTCAGTGATGCATATACCAGATGTATCCATGGATATGCATATATATTGTATATATGTATGCATATATGTACATACAAGTAAATCTATTCGAAGGAAGTTTAGAAGTCAAACTTCCGACAATATGGACAGATGAAAAGCAGAGCAGGGAAGAGGCAGAGAGAAGAGAAAGATTAGAAGAAAGAAGAGAAGAGAAAGAGTAAGAAGAAAGAAGATGTAGATGCGCGAAAAGGTAGGAAAGTCGCGAAACACTGTGGTTTTCCAATGATTGGGGCTCCGGAGGGTCGAAAAGTAGGCTCGCTAAAGCGGCGGGTGCGGAGCCAGCTGGCCAGATGAGAGATGAAAAATTGCACGCCGTTGTGGCGCGAAGCACATTTTCAAGTCAAAATGTACAAAACACACCAGGTTCGGACCACTTTTGGAAGTTGAGATGTCGAAAAAGTGCACGCCATTGTGGTGCGAAGTACATTTCGAAGTCAAAATGTACAAAACACCTGGGTCTCGGACCACTTACGAAGTTGAGATGTCGAAAAAGTGCACGCCGCTGTGGCGCGAAGCACATTTCGAAGTCAAAATGTACAAAACACCTCAGTGTCGGACGACTTTTGGAGGGTCCGATGTGGAAAAAAGTGCACGCCGTTGTGGCGCGAAGCACATTTCGAAGTCAAAATGTTCAAAGCACTAGGGGTTCGGACCACTTTTGGAAGTTCAGATGTCGAAAAAGTGCACGCAGTTGTGGCGCGAAGCACATTTTGAAGCCAAAATGTTAAAAACACCAGGAGTTCGGACCACTTTTGGAGGTTCAGATGTCGCTTCGCTTTGCTTCACTACAATACACTACTACATTACACTACACTACACTCCGCACTACACTACACTACACTACACTACTTTACACTACACTACACTACGTTCCACTACACTTCACTACATTACACTACACTACACTCCACTACACCACAACTACAACTACAGAACTACACTCCACTCCACTCCACTACACTCCACTACACTACACTACATTACACTACACTCCACTACACTACATTACACTACACTACACTACCTTCCACTACACTTCACTACATTACACTACACTACACTCCACGACACTACAACTACACCTCAACTACACTCCACTACAAGAATTACACTGCACTACACTACATTACACTACACTACACTACATTCCACTACACTCCACTACACTATACTACATTACACTACACTACATTACACTGAGTGACACTGCACCACAGATAGACAGGTAGACAGACAGACAGATAGATAGATAGACAGATAGACAGATAGACAGGTAGACAGCTAGACAGACAGACAGATGAAAGAGAGAGAGAGATAGATAGATAGACAGATAGATAGATAGATAGATAGATAGGTAATTAGATGAAAGAGAGAGAGAGAGAGAGTGAGAGAGAGAGATAGATAGATAGATTGATTGATTGATTGATTGATTAGATACATAGAAGATAGGTAGGTAGATAGTCAGAGAAAGAGAGAGAAAGAGAGAGAAAGAGAGGAGACCTCAAGCACCTTTCGGTCCATCAGTGGATTCGCTCTGCCATCCCGGAGTCACAACAACCAATCTCTCCTATAGGCTTCCTATTTTTGAAACTTCCGCCACCGCCTTGTGCGGTACTACTGGTATATGTTCTAGTATATCACTTAGAACTTCATATCATTTGTAGCGCCCGCATCTTCCCAACTCGCGCAGCTAGGAATGAGTTAGTTTCTCATCCCTCGGGGTTACAAGGGCTAAGAGCCGGCATGTGCCTTTGCCAAATGATTGTTCCTGCCAGACCCAACCCCCATATCAGGGGGTCGGCGGCACCCGGGCGTTAGCCCATTCTATAAAGATGAATAAAGGAATGAAAAACATAAAAACTGGTTCAAGCACTCAGAGAAGGTCGAAGTCATTGCCATGGATGAAGGTCATGGATGCCCAAAATGACTACGTGTGTTGTACACTCACCCCAAAACAGCATGACCGTTTCGCCCCTGGGTATGCAACCAAGGTACTTGTTTAGCCCAGCCTCCAGCTTGAACGCAGTCAATGCTTCGCCCTCCAAACATTCCACGGGATTGTCTGCCAGCAAATCATGCCAACCGTTCCAGTTGTTGGAGGTCTTCTGCCGAGTAAAGCCTGTGTCCTAGAGCTGGGTGGTGGCTGAGATGACCATCGAAGAACGTATCAGGTACTGTAACCAGGTATCAAGTATCAAGATTCAAGCATCCGCAATATCAATGAATCCATTTTCACTGATCAATCGATGAGTTTTGTACATTTACTTATGCACATATATAATATACTATATAATATAACATAATATAACTAATATACATATTACATTCTCAATCATTCTCCATCATGCTGGGCACACCAATTCCAAAACAGTCCATGGCCGCAGCCGCTGGTCCTTGAACTCGCCAAATTCGATGAGCGGCGCGAACTTGCAGCGGCTCCGGGGCTTTGCCACGTCGGAGGCTTCGCCCACGAAGAGCTGACCGAAGTCCAAGGTGGTCAACGCACCGCTGGTGCCGCAGTAGGAGGAGTAGCCCTGCGGCACTGCGGCTGCTTGGCTTGGCTTAGTCAGCTTTCAGTATCTTTCAATCGTGATTTTTGCTTGATTGGTTGGTCAATTTATATTCTTCTGTTTGTTCAAGAGATTGGTTGGTTTGGTTTGAAGTGAACTTTAAATTTACCTACAGTAGATATACAGGATTCCTGACCCACCGGCAAAAGCGGAAGTGTAAAACATGGCACAAGACTCTAGTGCTGTACGTTTACTAGGTCGCTAGGTCGCTGAAATAACGTGGCTGTGGCACAGCTCCAGCCATGCATAGCATAGCCATGCAGCCCCTGACATGAGCATAGCTACCATAGCTGCCTTATGCAAATCTTGTGTTCGCTCATCAGCTTCGATGTGGAGGTCTCACCTGGGAGGGCTGGAAAAAATCGCAACAGGATAACAACACTTCGTACTTCGTACCGTCTGATTGGAATTCTCAAAGTTGAGCAATACTCAAATTCGAAGAGACCAAAAGTGCCTTGCCACAATACCTAGATTACTCCATGAAAATCGAATGTATTGTGAACTGACCATGCCCTGAGGCAACACCTGATGAAGACAACTCTGTGGCTCACTAGGGTTCGAGGTTCCCAGGGTCCCACCAGTTCCAGAGGCACATGTCAACTGGAAGTTCGGCTGGCAGAAGGAGCTGCTTTGGTGCCGACACGTTGCATGTCCTCAGGCAAGCAAAAAGAAAGTAGCCATCACGCTCCAAGGATGTCTGAAACCATCATAATGATATCTCCAAACTGGGAGGCTGCTTGGGTGCAACAGAATTGCGATTGTTACTTGAACTCAGCCCGGTGGAAAAGTCTCACCAGGTGTGGGCACGGAAAAAAAATCAGCTGCTGATGGGCGTCACGTGCTGCAAACCGGCCACCGTCTCGTTAGTCGGCTTGCGGGATTTCAGGCCTGAGCTGAAATATGGGCACCACATTCCGAACCTGGAAACAACTGAATTCAATCAATCGACCCAAATGGGGGTTGGAAAATAGAAAACATTGCATGGCCTCTCAAACCAAAAGCAAATATATGGTTTTGGTGTTTTTTTCAGTTTTTTTTCATGTTTTTTCTTTCGGTTTAGCCAGCGCGATGGTTGGCTTCCAGAAGGTACTTTAACCAATTCTTCCCTTGTGTTCGGCTGCACCCTTTTTGTGCCATTTGCATCCCCTTGCCTATGGGCAATATCAGCAAAAGCAGTGTGACTGGAGTCTTGCCTCGAAATGTCTCATCTATGACCATCCAATATAGCCATATATAGCCACATTCCTGCAAGCCCTAAACTGCTTGCAGGATCTGAAGATTCCGGAGGATGTTGTTGACGAGCAACCTTTTGTCAAGATGATTGTGGACCAAAATGAGACCCCTGCCGGCTCGAAAACTTTCCTGAAGACATCTCAAATCAACGATATCAAGTCACTTGATCCCCAAACGAGCCGAGAAGCACTCATCCGCATCGGAGAAGGCAAAGTCGTCGGGGATCAACTTGAATTGTCGGGTCTCAGGGCTCGACTTGGCAGTGACCAGTGGCACCACCACCGCTGGACAGCCTGTACTGGCGATCACGGTCATGCTGTGGCCCTCTGCTTTACCCAAGCAGTAGCGATGCTGTGCCACCGTGCTCAATTCCTTGATCATGCCAAGTTCGGTGTAGACACTGAGCGCCATACGGTTGAAGAAATACAATTCCTCCACAGTCTTTCCCCAATGCACGGCTGCAAGCCGCGGCTTTGCTATGGTGTACCAATGTTAAAACGCATTTCTTGAAAATGGCACATCCAAATGTTAATTTTGGGATCCAAAAAAAAACTGACCAATTTGCACGTTTTCCTGTCTTTGCGGGTCCTGCTCGTTGCGTTGGTCAAAACCCGCATAGCCCGTAGCTCCGACCTGCACGCAGCTCTCACAGGCCAATCCTTTCAGGGAAGTCTCACCCAAGGAGTTCCGCCAATCTCCGTTGACACACTGCAACCTGGCAGCGTTCACTTCAGCATGGCCCATGGCATGAATAAAGTTCTACCATGTATGGAATATCGGAATATCTATGAAATCCAAAGGGGTCCGGGGGTCCGGGGATGGACCTAAAGCTCCATCTTCGCACCCGTTGTTGACTGTTGACGAAGGGGGTTTCAATAGCTTCACGAGTTGTTCTGTTGTGTTTGGGTGGCAAGGGCGATACTTGTTCCTCGTTTTCTCGGAGATGTTTTGTTCATCTCCCCATAGAAGGTAATTTGTGGTAATTCTTGGTTTGAACATATTGCCATCTTACCCTCATGTAAATTAAGATAGACCTGGAAAACCAATCCTTTCCCTATTCAAATCATCTTCAAATGGTGGGGCGTCCATGTGTTTTTGAAAATTAATGGAATGGTACCCAGGTTGGTTTTGAATTCCTCCCATCCTCTTCCCCGTCCGCACCTTTCAGATGTCACCATGCTGGAGCCTTTGAGAAGTCGATAGCGTTCCGTCCAGCAGGAGGCTGTCAACACGGCTCCAGATTCAAAGGCGCTGGGTAAAGGCCTGCAGCTTTTGGGATGAGCCATGAAGCAAAACCAAAAAAAAATGCCCATCCCATCATCATTTTTATGCATGGTCCCAGAAGGCAGGATTGTTAATTGCTTTTCAATGCTCTCAAGAAGCGGGTACACTGAGTATATTGGATGTAGCTGAATTTTAATCACCGTTTTTTTGGCGTCTCAATGCTCTCAAAAAGCAAATATATTGAATATAGCTGGGTTCTCATCACCGTTTTTATGGCGTCTCAATCCGTCTCGATGGTCTCAAAAGGCAAGTATATATATTGAATAGAGCTGCGTTCTCATCATCCTCTTTAGGTATCTACATGGTCTCAGAAGGCCGGAATATTCAATATACCTAAGATCTCCATTTTTGTGTCTCTACATGCTCTGCAGGTCTCATCTCCTTGAATCCTTGTGGCCCCAAGAGCTGGACCAGGGGGAATCGGTACATGACCCTCAAAACTTGCTCGTTTTAGGCACGCTCCACTTCACCTATTTACAAGTTTTTGTTCCAATTGAGTTCACTATGTTTGCGATGAAAACTTCAGCCCTAGCCTACAGCTGGTTTTCGTAATAACCACAATTATCACTATTGGCCCAGTGTCCTGAATCGTCCTGCTACAAGCTTGGCACTATGGATTTCTTGATGTTTCTTTTATGGGGATCCCAAATGATCATCCTAATCATTGGTGTGTTTGAAGAGGGGCAATGCGGAAATTCATATTGGACCATTGGATTTTTTGATGCATCACGATTTTGAGAAGCACCCATGAATGCGCAGGCTCTACGATAAACTAAAAGGATCTAAAAGGGGTCAACAGGGAATTGCAATCCAGAAAGCCTCTTGTGCTGCCAATCATGCGAATCAATCTTCCTGTGCCCTGGCCGCCCACATTGCTGGACTCCCATGCCACCAAGCAAAAGCACAGAGTCACACTGCTGGTAGAGGTGCAAATGCAGAAAACCAGACCCCACCAAACCTAAGCCAGGAGTTGCAGGATTGGAAAAAGTATGGGCACAGCAGCAAATAGTTTTGCTTCAAGACTTTGGAGCCCATTATTTTTGTTCTATTTGTTCAGGAGCTCACACATCTAGAACCCAGGGTTTTCCAATCATTCAAATTCTATAAAATCCAGGCAACCACTGTTGGAACTCGCAGCTGAACCCAGCTGAACCCCTGCAAGTTCTTGCAAGGCAGACAGCGACCCAGCAACTTGTGCAATGGCAATGCTGGACAAATCGATGTGGACATCTGTGGTCCCGCGCTCAAACTCAAAGGTGATCTCACCTGCAGAAGTTGCTTCAGCAACACCCTGTAGGACGGGCCAATTCAGATCAGACTGTTCGACATGGGCATTGTGACCGTGGTTGACCGAAATTTTGGCCTCCCCTTCCCAAGTGGACACTTCATGAACCATGTACACCTGGTAGATATACTTTGCAGCTGGCGTCAAGCCCTTCACTACGGCAGTGGCAGTACCAGCTCCGCTTTTCAAGAAGCCCCTTGCCCTCGGCCGAGTGTGGCTCCAGCCCGACAAGTCTGCCCTGTAGCCATTGGCCAAGGGGACATCAAAGGTTTGTGAAGCAATGTCATCCAACTGGGGGTGTGCGAAGCTATCAAAATTCTTTTGAATCTCTGTTGCCAAATGCTCTGAAACTTCCAGCGCTGAACCCACCCGCAATTTCCACTTCAAGTAGTTCACACTGGCTTTCATTTCATCATCAGAGAGTGCGCGGTCCCATGTAATGACTTCCATGACTGCAAAGTCGGAGAGTTCATTATCCTGATAGCCTTCATTCACATAGAGTGTTGAATCAGAAGGTTGCTCTAACCCAGATCCAATCGCGATGCTTACTGCTTCTCCTGGTGAGCCTTGCAACTCATACAGCTTTGTAGACGCACCGTTGCTGCCACACAACACCACCCAATCATAAGTGGCAAGATTTTTTCCCGATGGAGTTACCCAAGCCTGATAGAAGGCCACTCCAGATGAACCTCCCCAATGCCCATGCAACCAATTTGCCTGGTCTGCTTGCAGGATACGCTTCCTCTGACCTCCTGCGTAGCGTGTGACGGAGCAAATGGTGAAAGTCGGCTTCAACACCTCTCCTGCTTGCCCAAACCTGAAGGACGACAGATGGTTTCCCTTTATGTAAGTCACGGGCCGGTCTGCCCCATAGCCTGCTGCCACTACCCGGTGCACTGTGTTTTTGATCGAATATCCCTCGATGTTGCCCACTGAACTCGGCCACACCGACCCAGCATTTTCACTCTTGAACCATGCCACCATGCCATGTGCAGGGGGGTCAGCGGGCTTTGGCACAAATGCAAGTCCCACCTTCGCAATGGCAATGCTGGACAAATCGATGTGGACATCTGTGGTCCCGCGCTCAAACTCAAAGGTGATCTCACCTGCAGAAGTTGCTTCAGCAACACCCTGTAGGACGGGCCAATTCAGATCAGACTGTTCGACATGGGCATTGTGACCGTGGTTGACCGAAATTTTGGCCTCCCCTTCCCAAGTGGACACTTCATGAACCATGTACACCTGGTAGATATACTTTGCAGCTGGCGTCAAGCCCTTCACTACGGCAGTGGCAGTACCAGCTCCGCTTTTCAAGAAGCCCCTTGCCCTCGGCCGAGTGTGGCTCCAGCCCGACAAGTCTGCCCTGTAGCCATTGGCCAAGGGGACATCAAAGGTTTGTGAAGCAATGTCATCCAACTGGGGGTGTGCGAAGCTATCAAAATTCTTTTGAATCTCTGTTGCCAAATGCTCTGAAACTTCCAGCGCTGAACCCACCCGCAATTTCCACTTCAAGTAGTTCACACTGGCTTTCATTTCATCATCAGAGAGTGCGCGGTCCCATGTAATGACTTCCATGACTGCAAAGTCGGAGAGTTCATTTTCCTGATAGCCTTCATTCACATAGAGTGTTGAATCAGAAGGTTGCTCTAACCCAGATCCAATCGCGATGCTTACTGCTTCTCCTGGTGAGCCTTGCAACTCATACAGCTTTGTAGACGCACCGTTGCTGCCACACAACACCACCCAATCATAAGTGTCATTATTTTTTCCCGATGGAGTTACCCAAGCCTGATAGAAGGCCACTCCAGATGAACCTCCCCAATGCCCATGCAACCAATTTGCCTGGTCTGCCTGCAGGATACGCTTCCTCTGACCTCCTGCGTAGCGTGTGACGGAGCAAATGGTGAAAGTCGGCTTCAACACCTCTCCTGCTTGCCCAAACCTGAAGGACGACAGATGGTTTCCCTTTATGTAAGTCACGGGCCGGTCTGCCCCATAGCCTGCTGCCACTACCCGGTGCACTGTGTTTTTGATCGAATATCCCTCGATGTTGCCCACTGAACTCGGCCACACCGACCCAGCATTTTCACTCTTGAACCATGCCACCATGCCATGTGCAGGGGGGTCACCTGGGTTTGCTGGTAGCGTAAAGACAGGGCCACTGGCAGCAGATCCACCACTATATGCAGAGAAAGCCTTGGTGAGGAAACTTCTGCGGAGAGAGGTGGCCCAACATCTCTCAGCATCCGCCACGGTGCAGCTGCTACTGCGTGGCATGGCCTGCAGGGAGCCTTCCAGGCTGAACTCTCTCACCAAATTTTCACACCCACTGAACAAACGACAGGTTGCGGCACCGTGTTGGGATCCATGCCAAAAGAAATGACCTTGCAGGCGAGTCATGTGCTGCTGGGAAAGAAAGTTGGTGAATCAAATTAAATTTGATTACAATCAGTTACAATCAGTATCTGACCATACCGACTAAACACCTCCAACTCTTCACATGCAACTGGAACATGGCCAAAACACATTCTAAAGTCCGCAGCATCACCGGTCATCCAAAAAAAAATTGAGCCAACCCAGGCACAGTCATCCTGATTGCGGCAGCGAGCCTCACAGTCTGCAGGCTCCAACATCTCTTCCTCTGACTGGAAGTGAACTCCCACACCACCTGGCAACAGCTGCCGCGATGGGCATACCAACTGCCCGGTGACGATCGTGAAGGGCGCTGGAATGAAGTTGTTGTTGCTGTCCACCGGCACATGCTCAAAGCTGTCTGGGTTCACTGGCAAGCCGGTTCCCCAAGCCGGAGGGGCACAGTCACAAGGATGAAGCCAAAAATCTGCAGCTGCCGCAGTGCTTGGGTCGTCAAGCACCAAAGAAGGTAGACCTTCCTCTTCGGTCTCCTCCTCCTCCATCCATGCCAAAGCTTTAGTGGAACAGCCTCGCACCGCAAGGTCAGGCGTGTCGACACAGCCTTCAACCGTGCCACGAAGCTCAAAGACACCCGTAGCCGTATCCACAAAGTCTTGTGCTGAAGTGGACCGCAAGATAAACTTGTTGTAGGGGCAACCCTCCTTCCATGGGGATTAAGCATCAGCAGATCATCAGCAACCACATCCAGGTGACACTTCAAAATCTCATCGCCCAAAAGAGGATATGAATATTGAGTTAATATTGAGTATTTTCCTGTATGGCCCAACCCCTTCTCCTTCCAGGTAGAAGAGTGGTGCATGTACAACACGTCCTGCGCAGTCACGTGCTCTCGCATGTAGACCATGCGGTTTTTTGAAGAATCCCGACCCAGCGGGCAGTAGGTTCCACTGAGCCACCCCTTGGAGTTGGTCACCTTGGCGAAGTGAAATGGGAATCTCTTCTGAACCTGGCAGGAACCTGCCAAAAGGATCCAGAAGGAACCTGGACCTTCTGAATATCCGGATTTTTCTGATGCAAATAGTCATTTAAAACCTACTCAAAAACTGAGATTGTGTTGGTAAAATGCTCATACGTTCATGCTTTCTGCAGAGTCTCGCAAGGTCGGGTGGATCCCGGCCTTCAAGCAAGTGCCCTCGTTGGTGCAGTTTGTCACTTTCGCTGTCACTGTCACAGTTGGGCCTGAGATACGGCTGAAAAAGGCCGCCTGACTCTCAGGCTCCAAGTTCAGTGGCTTCAAAGGAACGTCTAAACGTACGCAATGGCCTTTGCCTTCCAAAACCGAAATACGGGTTGTTTTACTGCAGCCCAAGATTTCAAATATTTCAGAGTCATATGTTTCCGATTTAGTGCAATATTTTGGGGGTAACATACTATTTCCATCAGCTGTCAATGTCATGCAGCTGTCAAGGGACCATAGCGATAACAGCTGCAAGCCGAAGCCGGAATGGAGGCCATGATCCCCCCCTCAGTGATGACCACTGAACCACTGGCGAAACCCTGCCATCGTGTTATGCACACCAAAACAGCTTAGAGGCTTAGATGGTCAACCCCCAATCATGGGGAAAATAATCCTGTTCATGATAGGATAAAATGATCCGGAATGCTGACATGGTGTATATGTGCAGTGAATCCAATGAACATCACCAAAGAATCACCCATTTCGTGCCTGCATTAACCCTTGGGTATTTCAACTTGATACATCAATGACGCCCAAGATGCTGGTCTAGTCCAGACTTCACAGTGAGTGCCACCGGTGTACCTGCACATCTGTGAGATCAATCCTGATCCTTCTTGAGCTTTGAAATTCAAGGGCAAATTGGAAGCCTTCTTACTTGTTCCCTTCAATATCATCCACGGTGTTTCTGCAGATCCACATTATGACCAGCTTGATGCAGAACTCTGAAAATTCTGGAAAAAGGGCACTCGATGCCCACGCATCTCGGCTCGTTCCGGCAGTTGCTCTCACATTCCTGTGTTTTTCCCAAACTGTAGGAGTCAGAAGTCATGCTCATTGAATGGTTCATTGACTTTGGTTGAACCTGAGACCTTTCGCAGTCTGCAGTTGCCCAGTTGCACCCTGGGGTCCCCAGGCTGCCAAGTATCATCCAGGCTGGACACCGAGGTGAGGGTCTGGGCAACGAGATGGGTACCATTGAGGGAGTCAAGCGTTTGTTTTCACCAATGTTCCCAAAAAAACTCCATCATTGTCCGAAAATTGTCCCATCATTTCCAATTGCCATCAATGATACATGAGCTATCACTGCGATATTTCTGGTGCCACCACCTCGCCGTCATCGATATATATATATATATATACATACATATGTAGAATTAAAAAATACCATATATGGTGATATGTATATATACATATATACATGTTACATGTGTGTGTGTGTGTGTCAAGTGCCATATATAATAATCACCATATATATACGTAGAGATATTGAAGTGCCAAGAGTTTGAGAACTACAATCCAACCAACATCGCGGCATATTGCTACCTTGGGGGATGTGTGGGTATGGGTGACAGTTCTCGCATAAACCACAGAAACGAAAAGATTTGATGGTTGATCATTGTTGACAAGAAGCATCCAATTTTCAACAACATCTTCTCTCAAATATATATATATATGTATATACACAATCGCCATCGACATGGGTATAGGTCAAAATGATTGTGTAAAAGTTTGGAGCCGCTCTGTGCCAACAAAGTGCGTAGTAGGCAGCTGAGTTGTCGCTCGATGTGGCTCCGCGGCAACACCGTCCCTGGCCACCGTCCACACCCTCAAAGTGAGACCTCAGCCCACAGAAAATCCACGGCTTTGGGGACAGCCCAATAGGTAGGTAACAACCGAAAAGTTTCAAAGTTTGCTGAAAAATCACCATTTTGAATAGGCCACAAATTCATCGTGTTCCATAGCTATATTGGCTTACTGGAGGATAAGTTGCTTTGTAAAAGTGTGTGTGTGTGTTTACGCTAGCTGGGGCTTATGGATCCTGGGTATATCATCTGCAGCGCAGATTATCATAAATCAATTTATAAGTAGAACCGGCTGGAGTTTCACCTTATGGGAGAAAGGGCATGAAACATCATAAAATTAAAATGAGATGGAAGTTATCAAGTTTGACCATGGATGCTCTGTGCATCTCTGCGCATTCAGGCGCAACGCGCGAGGGTGTAGCCAGTGGGCAAGCCCCGAAATTCAGGTCCAAACTGGTTGAATCAATGCTTGCTGCGCCACAGCAGCATGTGAGACCCTTTCTCTTAAGATCTCTAAAGTATGTTTCATTGCGTAACTCCCAGCCAACGAGGAGAATGACAATTTGCGGGAGCCTTGGTTGCTTCTGTCATAGTTTGTCTTATACCGGCCTTACTCTCCTCGCTTGGATATTCCCGATATTGCTATCCATGTCAGCAGCTTTGTCCTCCTTCCGAACCGGTTCATGATTGATATTTAAATTGATATTGATATTCATCATCGTCGTCGTCGTGGTCGTCATCATCACCATCACCAGCACCACCAGCACCACCAGCACCACCAGCACCACCAGCACCACCAGCACCACCAGCACCACCATCAACATCACCATCACCATCAGTACATATTCTTATCATGATCGTTATCATCATTATCATCAATCATGTGATTATGTGCGAGACTAAGATTTGTTAGTGCTCCCTTCTTCTAATCATAACTTATATGCCAACCACTTACATACTACTTGGACGGTGACCCCAGCAACCTTCTCAACGACTTGAACCCAGCATCGGGGCCGCATCACTTTGTGCATCATACCTGCCGCAGGGACAAGCAGAGTCACTGGTGCGTCAATCCCTCCAAATGGGAATGACTCAACCTGACTGAACCCCAAAAAAGGGTCATTGAAGAGCAAACATGTCTACAGTTGAAATCATTTTGCTGCCGTCTACTTGGGTCACATTGGAGGGGGGTGGCCTGATCACAAGTGGTGGATGTTGGCCTCATTCACATGCAAAAACCCAAGGTGGCATTTCCCATTCCAAACTGTTTCTCCGGTTCTGCCGTTCATGGAGAACTTTTATCGCTGAGACCCAAAAAGGCACCCCAAGAGCTGCGAAAAACTGCATCTGTGGTTTTCCCTGCTTGGTTCCCCCTTCCTTTTTCCTGTCCCCCTAGAATTCAGTGTCAAAACTGGGCCCAACTGTCACCGCCTGTAGCACTGGTCAGCAAAGCGGTAATTAGCGCAGCTGGCATCTGCTCGGCAGCGCGCACGGCACTCTGCTTCGGTGCTGGCCCCAGCATCCACCACCGCCACGCTCTGACAGAGAACGGCTCTGGGAAGCACCACCAGATGGGATTCCAGACTCTTGAATAAAATGTGCAAGAAACTCATGTTGAATTATCTTTCTATGAAAACCCGGACATGATAGGAACCCAAACTGCCAGAACTCTTGTCCAACTTTTTTCTCGGGAAATCTGTTCTAGCTAATTCTGTGTGCGGATTTCAATCACAAGGTCTGGTCGCTTGTTAGCCTATATGCTGTATTTCCAACTTGGTGATGGCTACCCCCTGCATCAATAGAAATTATGTAAGAATATGATCAGAATATGTCCACCTGGATATCACAGAAGTCACCCATTGACCTATCAAAACAAGGCTTCATTCCAGAAATATCGCGACCAATCCCATAACACCGAGCCTTTTTCAGAATCTGTGGAGACCAGCAGTAGACGTCTTGCACGTCGATGACCATAGTTGTTTCAACCTTGGAAACGGCCACACAGCCCAGAAAGGCTAAGAGAAAATGTATTGGTATTGCCTACCAACAAAAAAAGATCTTGCCAGTTTCGTTTTATGATTGGATGCAGCTTCAAAGTGGTGTAGCCATTGTGTAGCCTATTGAAATCAATGTCGTTTCAGCCCAGCGGCTGGTGCTATCATCGGATCAGGGAAGATGCCAAAAATCCGACAGCTGCAAGTAATGACCTGGCAGTTTTTGGGTCCTTTTAGGGGTGGATTTGATGGACAGTGGAGAACCGAAAATCCATTGATAGAGAACCAGTGTTTTTGCGCCCTGGGATAGAGAAGGGAAAGATGGGAAAGTCCTAAAGTACCATCAAGAATGTAGGATTTAGGATTTTAAGTTTTCTGATGCTTTTTGCATTCAAACATATTCTAGTAAAGGCAAGGTTGCAGCACAAGATGCGCATCACTACTGGCATCCCATTGCAAACTGACCCGCCTTGCGTGTTGAGCCAGAGACGTCCAAAGCATCAAAGACAGCACCTGGGGGCATGGGTTTGTCCAGAAGGGTGAGGGAGGTCTCCACTTTGATGACCCTTTGAAAGTCATATAGTCATATAACCCACTGGAATCATTTCCAAACAAACCCACATGACAGATATGTGATGAGATGTGTGGTTGGAAACCTGGTGGGCCTCAGGCCCAGGAAATTCCCAAACAAGAGCGGTTCAGAAGGCGCCTTTTACAATTTGAGGTGTTAGAGGAGGATTCATCGCAGAGAGTGCTTTCAAAGTGCGCATTCCCAGCAATATGGATTATGTGTCTTCTGCCCGAAAAGAAGTAGCTCGCGATTCTTCGGGAAATCTGTCAGATGCAAGGCACTCAGGGCGCTTTCCGGCGCCACAATGACTTGCCCATCCTCGCCAATTTCCAGGATTTCATAGCCATCAAGGAAACCTGGTCAGGAGGACAAGGTTACAGTCCTTACCTAAAAAAAGAGATAAAATGATGGGATGAAAGAGGCAGTGGTTGGAATTCAAGACCCCCAGGCCCCAGGCCCAGGACCACCGAAGTTTGTTGATTACCCCATTCAAGGCAGAATTTGGGGGCCTCCCAATCTTGAATGATCTTGACAAACACATCCCTAAAAGGTAGGCGAAACACCTCTTTTTGAGAGCATCCACGGGACTGTCTCCAAACTCAAACGAACTGTAGGAAACTATCATGGACTGAAGATTCTTGTTACAATCATTAAATCATAGATGGATTGCAGAAGGTTCCAATCACCAAGAAAGAGAAAGGCAAACCTCTGCTTTTATTTCCAAATGCATGTTGAATTGGATTCAACCTGCAACCTCTGATCATCATTCGGCCGAGAGGCCCATGCTGAGAACCGGATCGAAGGTGAATTTGGTGCTGGGCAAAGCGCCACTAACGCTGCATGCCATGCGGTAGGTCCTAGTGGCGGTCCAGCGGTTCAGCGCCCGCGGGACATATAGACGGTATGATACGAGGTTGAAACACAGATTCAAAAAGAATGAGAGCGAGAGAGAGAGAGAGAAACACAGTGAGAGGGATGTAGATCTACCTGCCTAGCAAGCAAATAACATTGGCAACATGTCCGAGAAAAATCTGCTGCTGAGGCACCATGGTTTCATCAAGCCCTGATCGCTAGGGATCTTCACAGTCAAAGGCAGCACCTCTTCGCCCAGGCTTACTTTGACGTGGCCCAAGCTGTACCTGGGCATGATCGTGAGTCGTGAGAATTATGCGTGTGATGACCATAAACATCACCACCATCACCATGACCATTGCCATCACGAGAACGACCCTTGCAGCATATCAAATCACATCGATGCTGTTCAACTGGACCTTATCTCAAAATCTAAAGAATAACTACAGCTGGAACGCTGAGGCACAAAGGACAACCATGGTTTTGTATGGTCTTGGTATAAAATGGTCAACCATGTGTACCAAATGTATAACTGTATAACCATGTTGGACCATGTTTCTATGATTTTCCACGGATGCCACAGGTGATCCCCTTAGGTTGACACTCCAAGTTTGGCCATGGTCTTGGCCGGATGGATGCAAAACTGGTCTTGTGCCTTGGCAGAAATCTTCAACTATATAGGATCAGTTTCAGCACAAAATGAAGTACAAAAATATCGTCAAGAGATCTGTCAATTTTGTCTGATGTTCAACAATGGCCTCCAAGAACCTTGGAGTCTGTAGTCCAGCGAATCGCTAAACTAACCATCTGATTTTCAACCAAACTGCCCAATGTTTCATCATTGCACCTCAAATCATCTCCTGGGCATGGTCCAACTGTCCAAAGCTGTGGTGTCTGTGTGTAAGGCGCGGGTCTAAGGCACGTCTTTGGCCAAGGCGCGCCGTAAAACGGTAAAACCGTAAGACGGTAAATTCCATTGTTCCCGGGAAACGCCCGTAAAACGATAAATTTGGTAAATTTCCAAAATTTACCGTAAACAAAATTTACCGTAAAACGGTAAAACCGTAAATTTCCAAAATTTACCGTAAACAAAATTTACCGTAAACCGGTAAAACCGTAAATTGGTAAATTTGGTGTGCTAAGGGGATAAGTGCATTTTTGGTTGCACAACATGGCTGCAGCCGCATGTTTTGTGCAGCACATTTGTTCTCAGTAGTCTGCAACGCCAATCCATCTATCTATCTACCAATCCATCTATCTCTCTCTCATCCGTCTATCTAACTATCTATCTATCCATCTGTCTATCTATCTATCTATCATCCATCTATCCATCTATCCATCTATCCATCTATCCATTCTATCTATTCTATCGATTCTATCTATTCTTTCTATTCTATCTATCTATCTATCCATCTATCTGTCTATCTAACTGTGTGTATCTAGCTATCTACCTATCTACAAATCTACCTATCTACATCTCTACATATTTACCTATCTATGTATCTATCTATCTGTCTATCTATCTAGCTGCCTATCCATCCATCTGTCTGTCTATCTATCCATCTGTCTATCTATGTATCCATCGATCCATCTATTCTATCCATCTATCCATCTATCCATCTAGTCTATCTATCCATTCTTTCTATTCTATTCTATTCTATTCTATTCTTTTCTATTCTATTCTATCTATTCTATCCAATCTATCTATCTAACTATCTATCTAACTATCTATCTATCTATCTATCTATTTATCTATCTATCTATCTAACCATCTATCTATCTATCTATCTATCTATCCATCTATCCATCTACCCATCTACCCATCTATCCATCTATCCATCTATCCATCTATCCATCTATCCATCTGTCCATCTGTCCATCTGTCCATCTATCCATCTATCCATCTAGTCTATCTATCCATTCCATCTATCCATTCTATCTATCCATTCTATCTATCCATTCTATCTATTCTATCTATTCTATCTATCTATCTATCTATCCATCTATCCATCTATCCATCTATCCATCTATCCATCTATCCATCTATCCATCTATCCATCTATCCATCTATCCATCTATCCATCTATCTATCTATCTATCATCTATCCATCTATCTGTCTATCTAACTGTGTGTATCTAGCTATCTACCTATCTACAAATCTACCTATCTACATCTCTACATATTTACCTATCTATGTATCTATCTATCTATCTATCTGTCTATCTATCTATCTATCTATCCATCTATCTATCTATCTATCTATCTGTTTTTTGTACATTTCGACTTCGAAATGTGAATCGCGCCACAACGGCGTGCAATCTTTCATCTCTCATCTGGCCAGATGGCGGTAAATTCGTAAAGTCGTGGACCCAGCATTTTACCGATTTACCGAATTTACCGAATTTACCTCGTCCGGACGTATCGAAATTTACCATTTTACCGATTTACCCAATTTACCATGGCCCGAAGAGCGGCGAAATTTACCAATTTACCGATTTACCGAATTTACCATTGCCCGGAGAGCGGCGAAATTTACCAATTTACTGATTTACCAAATTTACCACTGCCCGGAGAGCGTTCTCTCCTTAGCATCATGCCTTACACAGTGACGGCTTAGCCAACTAAGATTCCAACTGTTTGCCCTGCTTCCAGGCTGTCACGGTACACACTGCGCCATCTTGCCCGAAGAACTTGTCATCTGCCACTGACAAACCGCCTCTGGTGCTCAAATGAACGGGTCAAGTTTCGGTTTCAAGAATGGTGATCACTTCTGACCAACGGTGAAACACCTTTTTCAATCTGATGTGGATTTTCACTGTGCGCCTTTGGATTTGTAAAGATAAACCATTTGCGATTTGACATCCCTCCCCAGGCACCTTGTGATGAAGTGTCACTGGCATATGTCAAATGTCCACTTTCCGAGTTGATAGAGAGCCAGCTGATTTCTGGCGCACAGCCCAATGCAAATTTGGACCAGCCACTGCCCGTAAGGACTGGCTGCTCAACATCCCCGTTGTGGAACAAGAGAGTGCCAGATTTGTAAGTCAACTGGTCCGCTGCAACTACCACGATAGCTGTGGTACTGACTGCTGCAGTTTGATGGGCTGTGACTTCACACTCAAACGAAAAGGCTTCGGTGGGCTTCGCACGGCCTGCATGGCTGATCAGCAACAAAGGGGAATCACACAAGAAAGGGAATCAACAAAAAAAGACAGAACATTAGCAAACCAGAGGAATCAGAAAATTAAAAGGCAAAAGTGTAGGCATCATACCAAAAATGACCTTCATATAATCATATAGGTGGTCTATACTTCGCTGCTTGGCACCAGCCTGATATATATGAAATTGTTCCCGTTGTGCTGTCCATAGTGAGGTTATGCGCTGCTAATTCACATGCCACATCAATGGTGTAGCGGTCAGCCGTGCGCGGTTCAGGTAAGATGCTGATGTCTGAATCCAAGGCCCATCGAACGTTGGGATAAGAAAAAGGTGTGGGTGTGACTGCTCCTCCACCACACTGACAGCAAGCCTCGTTGCTGCTCTGGCCCCTTACCTTCTCATCATTGCACTCGCTTTGAGCCAATTGGAAACAAGACCTGCCTGTCAGGCTAAGCCAACCGCTTGAACTGCTACAGGCCATGCATGCCCCATCGCGGATCACAAATCCATCTTGACATTTCTGGCAAGAAGTCCCCGAAAAGGAAGCGCAGCCCGCACAAGATCGGCTTGAAGCCGGGCAGCATGTGCTGGTCGCGCCCGATGCACCAAAGTCCATCACTTTGTATTGGCCCGTTGGGCAAGTGGCGGCTGAAGCACTTGCATTGGACTGGACTTTTTGCGACCTCATTTTCAACAAGGAGTCTCTGGAACCAATCCGTGTCCCAACCTTTGGCTTTGCTGCCGCACGGGTCATGCGCTTGCAAGCCGGATTGAGATCACCTGAGGTGTCATTCTGGAGCTGAGCCAGCAAGGCCGTGATCCTCGGACTAAAGCCAGGGACTTGGTCGAAGTTGTCTTCAATGCCAGCTACCTGATCACAGCCCCCGGTGTAACCATACCAGGAAAAAAATCGTGGTTGGGAACCGATCATCTCTCAGACTTGATTCTTTCTGGAAACAATTATAGTTATAATATTTTTATTTCCAGCGGATCATCCTCGCTTGCCAACATACTGGGGTGCAACAACCACAGCTGTGTGATTCCAACCCGCCTCCGGCACAAAGTCTTCGCCATCGATCATCGCCATGCTGCGTTTTGCTTGGAGCAAACTGCCTGCCTTCGCATGCTCTTTGCAAGCTGTCCCATCCACGCCTGCAACCCTCTGTACGAGGTTGGCAAGGGCCAAGGTGGCAAAGAGAGCCCATGGCCCAAATATGAAAGAGTCGCCCATCTCGGGCAGCCAGTAGTAGCAAGTAAAGTGAAATGTGCTAGTTGCACGGGCTCGTGTTCGTTCACACACGGACTTTTGAGCACTGAACGCCGCAGTTTAACGAGCAATGAACGAGGCAACGATCAAACATGCTATGCTATGCTAGGCTAGGCTATGCTATGCTATGCTAATGCTATGTTATGCTATGTTATGCCATGCCATGCCATGCCATGCTATGCCATGCTATGCTATGCTATGCTATGCTATGCTATGTTATGCTATGGTTGTGTGTCCGTGGTGGCAATCGTGAACCTTCCGCTTGGACAACCCACGTGAATCCAGACATTGCAAAGTGATGCCCCCACTCGTAATTTGGTCTAGAGTCTATATCTAGCCCTGGTCAACCAGAAGTATACCTCCCCTCATTCCCAAGTATCTTTGTTGCAAACCAACCCATTTGGATAACCATGGCGAACCGCCTTGTACGTAATAAAGCCGGCCTTGCATGTCCTTGCATGTCCTTGCATGTCCAACATCACCTTGACAATGTCTGGCGGCCTGGCGGACAAGCCGCGCGGTTGGTCACGGTGGTGTCCATGGCCAGTTCCAACGGAAACATGTGACCAACCACTGGAAATGCCCGCGCAAAACCATGGATGACAAAAAAATGATGGTGAAGATGGTGGCAGGCATCGCAATGTATACCGGTTTTTGTGTCCAAATAAATTACCCTCGGGAAAAAATGAATTCAATGGGTCAATGATGTCAATGTCTTGTTACTTGTTCTCAACGGGGTGTTGAATGTTCGCAGCGACCCATTCCTTCGCACTGAATGGCCCATCTTCCTGGCCGGGGCCTGCTCATCCTTGAGCCTTCCAGCTGCGAATCCGTCCAACATCAAACGGGAAACATCGCGATCCTGATACAATTATACAAAGCGTTTGCCAACCAACGATGGCCAACGCCAACACTCCCTCCGATTCTTCCTGTTTTTCAGAGTTTTCACAGCTGTTGGTTCCATTTTTTTGATCTGACAACCAAAATGCGCAGACAACAAAAAAACAACCTTATGTACATAAAAATACAAAACCGACCAAAATATTGCGAAACCACTCACGCAGTAAAAACATGCGTTCCAATTTTGAAATGTATATGCCCGCAAAAGCAACAACCGCTTATGACCTGCCAGCACACTATGTTCCGAAACCTCTGCAGTGTTCAGGTGCGTGCGCGGGCTGGAATCAAAGTGCGTTCCATTTTTTTTTTTATGTATTTTTTTTGCTGCATGCGTAATGGGGGTCCGCGAGACCGGTTGTTTCAAACAAAGCGCACGCGCGCGCTGACATCATGTTGGTAGATTTGGTAAAGCAAGCATGCAACTCGCATGCCCAATCCCGCATATTAAAAAAAACATGGCCCGTCCGCAGGGCAAAAATTCATGGCCAGAATTTCATGGCCAAGATGTGAATAGCGTTGCCTAATCATAATTTTCCTGCGTTGTCCAACAACACACAACTGTCATTGTTGTAGGGGCGTCTGCCACGCATGTGGCTTTTTTCAACCCAGGGCGCCACACGTTGATAGTTTATACTGATACTGTACGTTTGCAAACGCCTACACTGCAAGGTTCCATTAGTGAGCATGCGGTTTGTATTCTCCCGACGCGTCTCCATTTCAAATTCTGCTCGCACGCTTCTCCGGACAGATGTTTTCAATTGTTTTCATGTTTTGGCATCCCCCACGTACAGTTCGCTGGATGCTTTGCGGCCGGCTTTATACAGAATAGCCTGGTATAAACCGGAACGGCCACATCATTGGAGTTTATGAAGTGGAAATCCAACATGTGTTGGCTATAAGGTTAAAAACAGTGGCACGATAATGTGGATTTCCTACTAGACAACGATTGCTGTAATATCGTTTTTTCTTAATCACATCGATGGAAGCACCGACATAACCTTGACTTTAAGGGAATATCATAGGTCTCTTCTATGGTGAACCTAAAAGACATCGAAACCGAACGAAACCGACAGCCACACAAATATCGATATCGAAGTCGTTAACAACATCGACGTAACATCGACAAAGTTTTTTTCAGGAGTATAACCCGGCCAAACCATTTTATAGAGGCATTCTCTGCTCGGGGGTGGGTACAAAGTGGTCCAACCAACTTCGATTTTTTTTCCGGGGTGCAACCCAGGAAGGCCACTTTATAGAGGCGTTCTCTGCTCAGGAGGCGGTAAAAAACCGTCCAACCAACATCGATTGGGTTTTTTCCACGGGTGCAACCCGGCAAGGTGACCTTGTAGAGACATTTTCTCTGCTCGGGAAGAGATATAAAGTGGTCCAACTAACATCGACTAGTTTTTTTCAGGGGTGCAACCCGGCCAAGCTACTTTATAGAGGCATTCTTTGGTCGGGAGTTGGTAAAAAGTAAAAATGGTCCAACCAACATCGATTGAGTTTTTTCCAGGAGTGCAACCCGGCCGGGCCACTTTATAGAGGCATTCTCTGCTCGGGAAAGGGTATAAAGTGGTCCAACTAACATCGATTAGTTTTTGTTCAGGGGTGTAACCCGTTGAGGCCACTTTATAAAGAGGGTTCGGGGGTTCGGCCTCTGCAGACGGTGTCAGGTGACATGAATTTCAAACAAAATTGGTTTCAAGAGGAGATAATATTGACAGGGTTTCCGTTTCCGTGGTGTGAAAGCTGATAAATATGTCACACGTTTCCCAGGAAAAAATGTGCACCTGTGGTTGATGCCAGTTTTGCAGAGGGGTTCATTTAGCAAGGTTGGGGAAATAGATCTTATTTTTTATTTGTTTTTCCTCCAAGATTCGCCCCTGCGAACCGGACACGCTCTTCCTTTTCTTGAACCACAGGGGCTAAAGCGTATTGGCTTCAAATCTGTACAGGACAAGTGTTCCAATCTTGCTAAGGGAATGTCTTTCACCCCCTTTTGGAACACTTCGTTTGCACTCTGCTTGCCATATGTTTTGCATCTGGCTTTGTCACCAAAAACTTTGACAGAAGAACAACCAAATCGTTTTCACGTGGCGTTACTCACTGTGCAATTGTGCCCTTGCAGTTTAAGCCTAGGGGTTCTGCTGTTTGTTTACTTATTTGCGTTTCAGTTCCACACATATCACCGTTTATTGAAAAGGACAGTGTTTGTCAAGTTGTCAAGGCTATACCAAAATACCTGGGTCTGCTAAAGCTAAGTTTCCAACTACGGAATCCGAATCTAAGCTTGCAACTGTACTGTTTTCACTCGTGGTGCGGTGTTTCCCGCCAGTGTAGATAGCGCCCTACGTCTGCGCAAGATCGCTCCATTGTGCTCTCGCAATGTTCTTTTCGATGCCATGAGCGGAACGCTTGACACAACTCGCGGTTTTGTTTTACGCACATGTTCCTGAAAACCTTTGTCAGTCAAATCAATCACGCCTAATCCATTCAACGATCCCAGTATTTCACTTGCAGTCGCTAAGTGCTCGTCAAAGTGTTTGCTGGATTCTGTTTCCCGTCAATTTTACCAATAATGACCTGCTTTGTCTGTACCAATTCCTGAAGGCACGTGTGTCCAACAGCAAAATGTTTCATTTTACCTAAGGCTATGCGCTTGGCAGCTTCCAATGCGGCTGAAGAATCACACCGAACACGGGGCGTATCAATTTTCAACCCGAAATTTTCCTGGGATAATTTTTTCATACACACGCAAGTTTGAGCACAGTGTGCTAAGGCTCGCACCTCTGCCTCACCAGAACTGGTCGCAGGAACACCTGCCTGTGTCGTGCTGTTTGTCTCAACCACAGTACCTCCCAAAACGATCACCTCACCAGAACTGGACTGGCGAGTCTCGGCGCAGCCAGCCCAATCACTATCTGTGCAAGCATGGAATTGCAATGGGTCACGGGGGTCCAAACCATCAACCAATTTACTGACGTGTCCATAATTCTTTGTCCCAACCAAATACCGTGCAAACACCTTTAAATTTTGAAAATCACATCGCCTAGGTGCATGCAAACGTCGAGCCAATTCTTTCACCGAAAAATTTCAAGTCTGCCCGGTCCTGGCTCAAATAGATGCCTGAACCTACGCATGATCAGGAGGTCCATGCTACCTGCACTGGTCAATTCAATTTTTTTTCCCGGTAAAACTCCTGGGTTTGCATCTTCCATGCCGAATTTCCCCAAAATGTTTTGAACATGTTTGTCGTTTGGTTTCGTCACCACACAACCGTCAATGGTTTACTTTCCTGTGCCGAGGACTCAGAAGAAGTCCCAGATTCACCTTCCATGCCTTCAAGTTCTCCTACTTTCAATTTAAAAAAATCGGTATTTGGTTTTCCAACCAATGTTTCACGGCTTCTGCTGGGCCACAAACATCAAAATCATCAATATGATGAATCAAGATGACTCCGGAAATTTTGCAATGATAAATACACGTTTTTGTATAGACGTTTTGGAAAAGCCGGCACGCATGTCATGCAAACACGTTTTGTCGATGATGAGTTTTTGCTTTAACGGTGCCAATATTTTTTGGCCTCTGTCGGTAAATCGGCGCATTGGCTGACAATTGCGCAGCTAGCATGCGGGGATATATTTGAACATCCCTTGTCTACACATCATGATTTGGAAGGATTGAAGGGCAGCGTTTTACAAAAGGTGATTGTTTCAGGGAACCAACGCGGGGACCGTGCGTGTTTTTATTTTCACATCGTTCATGCAAGGACACACCCCCACCGGACCAGCGGCCTCTATGTCAATACAGCAATGAAAATGTTCTGTAGAAATGAAAACGCATTTTTCTATGTTTGCACATGCTATCTGGGCACATGCTATGTGGAGGCACGCGACAAATTTCATACGTTGTTCCAACGCGTAAAATTCTCACATGGGTTTACCTCTAGCACGTTACGCTCACGATTTGAGTTTCTCACCTAATCACACAACTGTCCACACATCAAAAAGCAACGTTCTGCTGATTATTTTTTTGTAACATCCGAAAGTTGATTCAAAGATAACAAGATTTTGCATGTTTCATATCTGCGGGTTCGTTTCTCTGGATTTTTTCGTTGCTGAA